CTCAGAAACTTAAAATGCTGAGGTCTTTGTACTGGGTCATACTATTCCCTGCTGATACCATGTCAAAACTGAATGATGATATATTTTCCGTATGGCATTGTTTATAGGGTAGATCTTCAACCATCCATTGCTAACAGCATGTTTCTTTTCAGACCTGACAATATTGCAGCCTGAAGGGTTATATTTTTATTCAAATAACAGTGTGGACTTGAGCTTCAAAGGAAGAAAAAAGTCAAACTATTATAGTTTGAATACTTTAATAAATATTAAATGATAAATGAATCTGATTCTACAGTAGCTGCAGGGTGTGTGGATAATAAAAGAAAATCTTTAGATAGTGATAAACAGTATTAGATGTCTTGCCTTTTATAATCTGCCTTTGCCTCTCTTACCATTATAGTTGTGGGAGTTGGGGAAGGATGAGGTAGGGATGCATGATTTTTGTTGCCAACTGAATTAAAAGTAAAGGAAATTTTAAATGTAAAACTTAATCATCTCTTTAGAAGGATAAATACAGAAATGTCTTTTGTGTTTACTTGTATATTTCTTTTTTTTTAAAGATTTTATTTATTTATTTGACAGAAAGAGCACAAGCAGGTGGGGGTGAGCGGCAGGCAGAGGGAGAAGGAGAAGCTGACTCCCCGCTGAGCAGAGAGCCGACATGGGACTCGATCCTAGGGCCCTGGGATCATGACTTGAGCTGAAGGCAGATGCTTAACCGACTGAACCGCCCAGGCACCCCTACTTGTATATTTCTAAATGAGAATATTCTAGAAGTAGCTTATCTTAAGAATGAGAACCTGTTAAAGAGATAGGGAGTTTGAAGAATTTACATTTTACATTTATTTGAGGCATTTGTAGTTCTAGACAATGGTAAGGCAGGAGAATATCTGTCTTTATATTTGGTAATCCAGATATAATGGATACACTGTTAGATCCAATCCAATGCTGTGCTGATTCTTAAAACACTATTTCTATTTGAGTTATTAATAACACTATATACCCACATTGAGTATAGAGATTACTTAAAACAATAACACTATACATGTTTAAAATATTTTTCAGAATTCCTAAAAAGAAGTATTATATGACACAGTTTTTTTTGTGTTTTTTTTTTTTTTATAGAATATACCGATGGTTCTCAAAGGTGTGGCCTGTAGACCTAGGAGTCCCATGAAACCCTGTTAGAGAATCTACAAGTTCAAAACTATTTTCATAGTAAATCTAAGACATTACATGCTTTGTATGTGTGAATGTATGTTGACGTTTATACCTATGATGCAAAAGAAATAGTGGATATAATTGCTGGGACCTTTGCATGAATCAAGGCAGTGGCATCAAACTATACTCTTCATCTGTATTTTTTAGTACCATGCACTTATAGACTAAAAAAAACCTTACTTCACTGAGGATTTCACATGAGAACCAGTTAAAATTATTACTGTTATTAAATCTTGACCTTTGATCATGTATCTTTGCAACATTCTACATGATTAAATGAGAAGAATGCGTAAAGCACTTTTACTTCACACTGAGGTACAATGGTTGTCTCAAGGAGAAGTACCTTGCAGTTGTTTAAGTTAGAAGCTGAACTAGATACTCTTTCATGGGATACCATTTTTACTTGAAATTACAACTGAAAAACTAGTTATGATTAGTCAGACTTAGGTTATTGAGAGACATTTTCTCAAAATGAACAAAGTGAGCCTGTCACTTAAAGGAAAACAACTGACAGCATTTATTGCCAATAACACAGTTCAGGTTTTCAAACAAAAATTAGAATTTTGGAAAATTTGTATTTGCCCATGAGAACATGGGCAATTCTCCAATTTAAAGATTGTTCTGGTGATATTAGTGGTTATATTGTTTTTATGATAGTATGTAATGAAATGTGTCCGTGTTTGGAAGAACACATAACATACTAAACCAATATTTTCCAAATGGTGCATCATGTTATAAAATTATGCCTGGGTGTAAAAGAAGTACAAGAAAGAGCAATAACTGTTAATGTAGCAGAGTAAAATTTTATTATATTAGAAAATTTATTGTATTCATGTTGAAAATTAATTTGATTAAAACATATAAGTTCATGACTTTATTGATATGGTTCATAAAGTGCCTTGATAAGGTTTCGGATTCCACTGGCAACTAACCTTTAAAAAAACTATCACTTGTTGAGTTTTGGGATGATATTAAAGAACAATACCCACAATTATCTGAAAAGCTGTGACAGTACTCTTGCTTTTCCAACTACATATCCTTGTGAGGTCAGATTCTATTGATATACTTCAACCAAAACAACATATTACAGTAGATTGAATATAGAAGCAAACATGAGAATACAGCTGTCTTCTATTAAGCCAGACATCGAAGAGATTTGGCAAAGATGTAAAACCGTGCTCTTTCTTATTTTTTTTTCATTTCAAAATCATTTTTTGAGTATAGCTGATACAATGTTATAGTAATTTCAGGTGTACAACATAATGGTTGGGTAAACATTATGCTCTGTTTACTGTGAGTGTAGCTACTATTTGTCCGTATACATTCCTATTAAAATGTCATTGAATTTTTTTTTTAATTTTATTTATTTATTTGAGAGAGAGCATGAGCAGGGGAAGAGGCAGATGGAGAGGGAGAGGCAGACTCCCTGCTGAGCAGGGAGCCCAATGCAGGGTTCGATCCCAGGACCCTGGGATCATGACCTGAGCTAAAGGCAGTTGCTTAACCAGCTGAGCCACCCAGGCGCCCCTGAATTTTTTTTTTTTTTAATAACAGTATTTTTCATGAAAATGTTACTGTGCTGGAGTTAGAAAATCAACATTTTGCTACTATCATAGTAAAGACTGGTTCAGGCAGGAATCATCACTGAATGCACAATCTACAGGAAAATTTTGAAGAAGACCAGGATGTTTTCCTGGCCATAAAAAGTCTCACCACATATTTATTAGTGACAAAGGAAAAATTAAAAAATAATACTTAGCAGAGAAATTCAAAGCACCTTGCCCTTGCGATCAAAGTCACCATTTTTGAGAAGCCGTTGGACAGTGTATACTTCATATGTGACAGCTGGAGAAGGATAGTGTTCTAGTTGAGAATGCATCGCCTAAATCAAATCATGAGCAAACGTTTGACAATACCAAAATGAGATTCATTATTTTTAAAAGATATACATGGTATTCTTCAAAATTGTCAGGTCATAGAAGACAAAAACTGTGGAAATATTCCAGATTAAAGGAAACTAAAGAGAGATGACAACTAAATACCATATCTGACCCTAGGCTGCATCCTGCATTAGAGGGCGAAGATCCTATAAAGGGCATCATTGGGTTAAATAGACAAAATTAGCATATGGATGGTAAAGTATTGTATTAATGTGGCATTTGCTGAAGTTGATAACTATACAGTGATTGTAATAGAGTATCACAATTTTAAGGTAATATACACTGAAATTTTAGGGGTTAAAAAGGAGCCTTCATGTTCGTAACTTACCTTCAGATAGTTCAGAAAAAAATTAGGTATAAATATAAACACATATTTGTGTATATATTTGTGTGTTAAATATGTGTATACATATACACATACACAGACATGTATACATACATAGAATATAAATGATTTTTTAAATGAGTAAAATGTTAATAATAGATGTATCTGAGTAATCTGCTGTTATATAAGTGTTTTTAGTACTGTTCTTCAAATTTTCTGTGTTTTGGTTATTTCCAAATAAAAAGTTTAGAAATTAAATGCAATAACTTATGTTAATGTAATGGGTTCATTATTGTTTTTAAATGAATTAATATATCTTTAACATTTTTCTTAGTTTTGTTTCTCATGGAGTAAGCATGAATATATCTAATCCATATGAACAAAGCTCTTTGGGGTCTTTGATAATTTTTAAGAGTGTTAAGAGGTTCTGAGACCACAGATTTGGAGGACCATTGGTATAGGCTATGTGTGGGTAGTTAGGTAAGTTTTCCTCTCCTCCTTTTAAGGTTATTTTATGATTCTAGTTAATGAGAGCTAATTTGGTAGATGCCACTAATCACTTAACCTCTTTATGCCTTAGTTTTTATATTTTTAAAATAGGGATCTAATATTGCCTAATCTCAGAGGGCTATTGTAAGATTTAAGTCAGAGGTCTATATAAGGCTCTCAATTAATGACCACTCTGCCGTGCTGTCCTTATTGGCAGTGTGTGTTTCTGCTCTGTTATTGCTTCTTTTTGCCATTTGTGATTTGGCCAGTGATTTTGGTTCTAAATATATGCATATGAGCCACCACAAAGAAATCAAAGAAGAGTATCAGATAGTTCTTAAAATGCAAGTTTACAGTGGTCATGCCCCTTCAAAGAAATGATTAGGGAAGCATAGAAGGATGAAGATGAGCAAGCAATTTGGGATTTTTGGAAGTCTCTGATATAAGAAAGAGCATCATAAACTTGGGAAGTTGGACCAACGATTGTATGAAGAGTGGTTGATAGAAAATATGACTGGGCAGAAAATATTTCCTCATTAGAGACAAACTGTAACCCTACTTAGCACCGTTTCCATGGTATTTCAAATTCCAAATAGGCATCATCTGATTAAATGTGTATGTGTATATTGGGTTAATTAATTTGTTGTAAGAATATATACTTAAGGTAAAGAAAGAATACTATTGTTTTGTGACATTTTCACTGTTGTCTTGGCCCTGTCTAAATTCAGCTCTATTCTGTATCTCACTCTATCAAACATCAAGCCAATGAAAAAGAAAGAAAATTAGATTGTTAAACTATATTATGTTCACCTAACTGCAAATTATCACTTTTTTTTTAAAACAAGTGTGACTTTATTCTTTTCAACTTTCTCTCTTTTACAGATAACTATAACTGTTAATACAAGAAATTATCACTTTTTAAGAGATCAAAAGATACATAAATGTAAAGGCTTTGTCATTTTGATATGCTCTTTATTGTCTTTTAATCTTTTTTACTAAGACTTATGATTTATTTTTTTAAACAGATCATCAGAAACTGGAAAGAGAAGCTAGAATCTGCCGTCTTTTGAAGCACCCCAATATTGGTAAGGAAATCTTTTCAATTTATTTTAAATGTTAATTAAAGTTTATGTTATGTATTTTTTAACCGCAACAAAAATGTTACTTTAGTAATCTAGACTATTTGCAACTTCTAAGAAATAAGTTCCTAATTTTTGGTTTTGGTTACATTTGATTCTTCTAAGTTTTTGAAATGTTTTTCAAAAGGTAGCAGTTAATATACTAATACTTTAAAATAATACAAAATATTATTAATTGAATAGTGCTTTTATGTGTCTTCAGGATTGTTCAGCTGCTGCTGCTGAAGTTTGGAGAGACAGAATTTATGTCATTGTTTTAGTCAGCTAAATTACTTTTTACCTATCCTATAAGGAGTTTTTCCTATAATTATTGATTTTCTTCCAGAAACTAGTAAAATTATTTTACAGTATTATCCCCCATGAATTATGAAATAGCACGATAATGTTCAAAATAAAAAACTGATGAGTATAAGAAAAATAGAAGCAACAAAGGAAAGAAAAAGAACAACAAGAAAAACAACAAAAAGAACAAGAACATGATCCTGTGAGAGTAGTTTTGATTATTTTAGATAAATGTCACTGCCCCAGCTCTGTGAGTTTTATTGTCAGCCAAATTATTTGTGATGTAGAAGCTGTGAGAGAGGGAGTGATAATGCAGTACAATTGCAAAATCATTCACTGAGAAGGTTTATGTTCTTCTATTTTTGTGAATGGGACCATTCAATTTCTATTCCTGACTTGAAGTTTCTAGTGTCCTGCATACTTCTTAGGTTCTTAAATGAATGAATGGACACTACCAGGTAAATCTGAAGCATTAACAAACCAGCAGCTGTCTAATATGAACCTTCTGGTTGGAGAGAGAACAACTCTAAAATGTAAATACATCTTTACAAGTGTTTTACCTGTGACAGTCTTTGGCATTTCTTGGTTGGCTATCTTATTTTGCTAGGGCTGGCATAACAAAGTACAAGATGGCTTTAACAAAGAAATTTATTTTCTCATCATTCTGTAAGCAAGAAGTCTGAGATCGAGATGTTAGGGTTTGTTTCTTCTGAGACCTCTCTCCTTGGGTTGTAGATAGATGTCTTCTCCCTGTGTCTTCACATGGTCTTGTCTCTGTTGTAATTTTTTCTTCTTGTAAGAGCACCATCATATTGTATTAGGGTCCACCCTGATGACGTCATTTTAACTTAAATGCCCTTTCAAAGACTTTATCTTCAAATACGGTCACTTTCTGAGGTCTCAGGGTTGAGACACAATTTTGGAGAGACACAATTCAGCCCATAATATTGGCTAATGAGAAATTACATGGTATGACCCACGGTGGTTCAAAGAGCACTGTTCTTGCTCAGGTTTAAGATAAAGTGAAATTTTTGTTTGGTTTGCTTTGTTACTCTTGTGAAGAAGAGTTGTTATTTGTTTTGTTTTTAATCAAGATCTTTCTGTGAAACTCAGTTTTTGTAGATAATGAAACTGGTTGTCCTCATTTCCTCCAGGAGACCAAAGTCAGACATTCTAAAGACAACTCAAACTAAAACAAGAACAATTTTCATTTTGAAACCATGCTGAATAACCTTACTAACAAAGGAGAAGTTGTACACTGGGGAAAGTTCTAGTTTTTTTTTACATGGACAGCACCATTAACACACTCTGACACTACATATAATTTTTTTCAGTGGTGCATAGCAGCCAATGCCGTGGCTCCCTGGTTGCCTCACTTGGGGTTTTCTTCCATCTTTCAAGATTTCAGGGGTACAAAAGCAACTATAGAAGTTTCAGGTCCTTGAATTCTGAGATCCATTTCTAATCACAAGAGAGATTTTTTAGTGATCCTGTACTACAAGATGGGAATCATAAATAGATTAAACTTCTAAGACACACTCTCAAAAATCATAACAGTGGCAAATTACTCATATTATTCATTCACTCAACAAACTGGTTTTCTGGGAATACAGTAGGAATACAACAGACCATTATACCTGCCCTCACATAAGTTGCATTTTTGAGGTAGACAGACAGTAAACAAAGTATAGGATGTTATATTGTGATAAGTACTGAGGGGGGGAAAAAAGCAGGGAATGGAAATTGGTTATGTTGGGGGATTATGATTTCAGATAGTTTGGTCAGGATGACTTAATTGAGAATGGAATTGAAATAAAGACCTAAAAAACAGGAGGAAGCCAGTCGTTTGGCTCTCTGGGGAAAAAAGCATCAACAGATAGAGGGAACAAACAGCCTTTGTAAAAACCCTGAGGCAAGAATTTGCCCAGTCAATCCCACCAAAACTTTTTTTCTAATTGGAGAAATGTGGATGAATTATTTTTCCTTCTACCTTATCTTAATTGATTATCTTAATTAATCTTCACGTTATGCAATTTGACAGTGTTGTGTTTACTCACACAAAGAGAAATGATTAAACACCAACAGTAATTGTCAAAAAAATAATAAGCAGCAGTAAACAAAGGACTGCTTTAAAGATAGGTGCCATGATGGGTATCTGAGATTATACTGGAGAGTAGGGAGAACAGAGCGGTAAGCGCAGTGCTGCTGTTCCCGTTGGTTAACAGTTTTCACATAGATCACTCGCACTTACTTGCTCACTGCTGGTTCAGTTTACTCTGGTAAAACAGCATTTGGTCTTGATTCTCCTGAAATAGGTTATAAAGTGATATCTAGTATGAGACTCTTACCTCTTCTTCCCTTTTCTCCATTCTGTTATTTGCTCAGTTATCTTAAAATCTACCAGGTTTTAGAACTTGAAGGAACGAAATGCTACTTTTGACCATTTTTCCTCCAGTGAAATTTTGCTTATTACTTTTTTTTTTTAATGTGCCTTTCTCTTGGCACAGAGTCAGTAATCTGGGAACTTGCAAGTAAAAAGTTTCTCTTGAAGAAACACATAAACCAACTAAAATTGGTAATTCATAAACCACTCTTTTTTTTCTTTAGTGTTTTTTTAATGTTTTTCTAATTTTCAAAGTAAAGCACAGTGGAAAGTTTGGAAAACACAGTGATGTCTGAAGAAGAAACCAAAGGAAACAACTTTTAATATCTGTTGTGTTCATTTCTACCTTTTGTTGATAAATCTTATGTGTATGATAACTTCCAGTATTCTCTTCTACACATTTTCATACCCATTTAGGTAAACCATGAAAACATAATTTTTAAAATTATCTTACTTAACAAAATTTATTTAGTGTTGTGGTCATTGCCAGCCATGTTCTAGGCTTAACACACTGGTGATGAAGTGGTCATCCAGAGAAACAATATCTCTGCTTTCCTAAAGGTCACACCCTAGTGTAAGGAGATAGGCCACAAAACAAAGGGCCATCATTATAATGTCATAGAGATTAGTTCTATGCAGAGAATTAAAATAGCGGAAATTGACACTAGGGGATTGGGTGGCTACTAGCAAAGAGGGACAGAATCAGACACTCGTTTAAGTCATTAGGCAGATTTTATTCAATATTATTGCATTAAGAGAAAGAGCTGAGCTCAGTTCCAAATACAGCAAAGACAACTAGGGATTTATAGCCAAGGAGCAGAATGAGAATTGAAAATTGCTGAGAGGAGATAGCAAACGTAGGGGGATTCTTACTGAACTTACTAAACTACTGATGAGATTCTTATTAAAGGAAGGCCAAAGGCTTAGACATCCAGGGCGAGGGATGAAGAACTTGATCAGATGTCAAGGGTGATCACATATCAAAGATGGAGGGGTGACTTTGTAGGATTCTTCGCTAAGACTAGCTTAGGCAGGTTGAGTATAGGGCCCAAGACAAGGCCTAGTCAAAAAGAGGGCTCAAGGAGCCTGCCTAATTTTGATCAAGGGGACAGTCTTGTTACTACATTGAGTGGCTTGTCAGGCAAGATATGTCTGCAGCGGTCACATTTAAATTGATATCTAAAAGATAAGAATCCATCATGAAAAAGCTCAAGGAGAAAGGGTTTCAGGCAGAGTAAACTTCCCCTGTTAGAGGAAGAGGCAGAGGATCAGCATGTAGCCTACCATGAGTGAAAGAGAGAGAGTGACCTGAGATGGGTCCGAAGGATGGGTAGATGCCTGACCACGTAGGGCCTTGGAAATCAGGTTAGAGTGTTTAGGTTTTATTCTAAGTGCAGTGGGAAGCCCATAGAAGGATGATAAGCAGGAGTGTGTCATCATCTGATTTGTTCTGCCTGCTGTGTGTAAAATGATTGTAGTCACATGAGCGCAATCAGAGATAATAGTGCTCCATTAGTTCATTAGAATCCAGTGTTTATCACCCTTGGGTCCTTCTTTTCAGCAAGAATTTAAATAGATCCAGGCTGACCTCTTTTCTCTGTGTTCCACATAGTCCACGAAAAAAGTACAATGCATTTTTTGGCTCAACAAATTTGGGAGTGCAGGCAATTTCCTAAGCAGCATCATCTTTGCCCCTGTCTTCAGAGCAGCTAGCCAGACTATTTTGTTTGAGCCCCAAACTAGAAAGATTATAGCTAACCTTATCTTAAGGTGTTGAAGCAGTTTGGAAAGGACATCCTACCTCAAGCTTCTGTTAATTAGCTTATTTTTCATTATTATGTTCATCCTTTCTTTTAATAAAATGGGCTTATTTTCTCTTGAGTTATAAGCAGATTCTGTGGTAAATCAAATAGTCTGAGCTATATATTAACATATCTACTGAGTGAAGGAAAATAACTTTAACGTAGTGAAATAAAATACTTGAGGTAATGGCCAAATTGTTCTCAAAATTTTATATTTCCGTTGTTTTTGTACTTGATCTTTGATGAGCATTATTATTGAGGAATTTTTTGAAACTCATGGCAAAATCCAAATAAAACAAGAGAAACTAGGGAGATCAGGCAAAACACTCATTTAATGCAACTGTATAAATCTGAAAAGAAGTGGGCCACGAAATGAAAAGAGAAAATATCAGGAACTTTGATCTTATTCATCTGAGGTCCCAAGTGAGAAAGATACCCACTTATTCTTTGTTTGTATGGAGATCAATATTTGAGACAAC